CATGTTTCCTAAAGCAAATTAATTGATTAATTGAATATAACTAGCAATACATTCGCATCCATCGTTTGACGCGGATAAACGGTTGATATATATATATATATATATATATATATATATATATATATATATATATATATATATATATATATATATATATATATATAATGTTAAAGCCAACATTTTTACATAAAAATTCGACTGCGACTAATCTAATATCCTATGGTCAATTTAGACTTCAGTATGTTACCAACTGAGATGACCATGTAAGTTTTTTTTTTTCACCAAAGTCATTCATATTAACATGTGTTTTTCACATTTTTCAACATAACATTTTTTTTGTATTTTTTAAAGAAAAAATTGTTAATTTTTTTTTTTCATTCTCTCTAGTATTTTTATTCGTTTTTATTTTTTATTTTTTATTTTTTTATTTAGATGTTTGTCAGTATTTTGTGTTTATGGTTGTTGTTAATTTTTTTTTCTGCATTTAAATACTTTTTCAAATGTTCCATGTGAGTTTTATAATTTTTTTGAACCACGAAGTTAGTGATTAGCAGTTAATATCACAAGACCGTCAACGTTTTGAATAGAACTCAAGACCTCCAATCTAAAAATCAAAACCTCTACCAAATGGGCTTGTCCGACGTTGGCTTTACATTTTTTCTAGTAATAGAACATTGATGATTATCAACCAAACTTACAAATCAAACAAATTGCTTCTAATAAATGTGAGTTTAAACTTTATGTTGTGAGATTATTTTCGTTGTGAAAGAATATGTGATTTACAAGATTTAATAAGTAAACAAATTACTTCAAGTAATTTGCTTTTAATAAAATTTAATAATAATAATAAAGATTGAATTCAAAACCCCTTCTACTAAGGTTGGGATTCAGTCCCTTCATTTCATGATTTTGGTTTTCGATACTACCATACTAGTGGGTTCAGTACCACCGATTATCGGGTAATTTATGAAGGGTCACTTTTATCCCAAATCTAATCTATTCTAATTAGTTGCAATTTATATATTCAATCTCTCCTCGCATCACTCATTCGAATAAGACAATAGTTCAAATCCAAAAAGCTAGCCAAGAAACTTCAAAAAACCGAGTCTTTTTAGTGTTAGGTTAAGTTCTGAAAATGATTCCACTGTATATTAATTGTTGTTATTGTTTTTATTATTTTTAACATCTTTTTTATTATTGCGACAGTTATGAAAGTTGTACCTTACAAATCTGGGATTAAATTGGGATTGGCACCAAAATCCGAACTTGGTATCACATGTTTCCCTAAAAGTTTCCGACCTCTAGTTGTTTACTGTCCATAAATCAAGAACAAACCCAAAAAACTTCATATTGTTTCTAATATTTATAAAGATCATATAGAAAATTAATACCATCTACAATTACGAAGCTTACACAGAAAATCATTATTAGTAATGAGCTCACAGAAATCAATAAAACCTACATTTGCAAAAAAAATAATGCATACATGTTCATCTTAAAAGCTTGTTCATCGTATTATCAATATCCAAACAAATCTTTATCCCCATCCATTATCTCTCTCTTCTTTAGTCACTTATCTTATCTATGTGAAACCCCTATGGCCCTAAGAAAATCTTAAGGTTCTAAATAACGTATGATGTGACTTGACGGCAATGTAAAATCTCAAGTTTTTCTGAGCATTGACGAGTCATGTCGTTTGTAAGGCGTGACATAAGGTGACAATTTTGTATTTAATTAATATTTTTATATGTATTTTCAACTATTATTCATTTTTATACACATATATGAATCAAAGCGGCGTTTTGGTAAAGCTTGACAGCAAGTAAAAGCCTTGGAGCCATGACGCGCCTTGACGGAGCCATGACAAATTTTTTAGAACCTTGGAAAATCCACATTTTCTCCATACTTAACCAAACCAAAAATCAAACTCAACAAAATCATCTTGGTTATTTCTCTATACTTAACTAAACCAACATTAAACTCAATTCCATAAGTATTTTAGTTAATCAAAGGTTTTAAATCATAAGAAATTAAAACCCAATCCCTTTTTGTTTTGTTTCTTGGTTCAATTTTTGAAGGAAAAAAGCTTACTGGAGAAACCGAGAATAATAGATTAGAAAGGGAGATATAAACATTGGCGGTGAACATGATCTTCAAAAATAGAAGGCAAATCTAGGGCTACTAAATTAGAAGGCAAATCTAGGGCTTCTAAAGTTAGAAGGTTGTTTCACGACGGTTATAGGTGGTAATGGTGGAAGCTCCAAACATGTAACGGTGGTGGAATGGCAAACATGAGGATGAAAACATGTAGTAATGGTGGAAATGTTAATAACGATAGTAAATACATGGGGCTCTTAGTTACGTTGTCGACAGTGATAAGAAGGTCTTGAGACATGTGTTTTAGCTGGAACGTCAAAGTGAGTGAAAAAGAGAAATGTAGAGAAAATGAGAGGGTACGGTGGATGGGTAGGAGGGTATATAATTTATTTTATTTTATTATTATTTTTAAATTAAAAAGTCTTTTAAAATAAATATAGGGCATAAGAAATTAAAATGGTATAACAGCATTTTTAGGTTTTCTATGACCAAAATCATGAGTTTTTTTTTTTTTTTTTTTTTTTTTTTTTTTTTTTTTTTAATGATTTTTGACTTTTCATAGAAGTTGAAATTTTTTTGGATTTTATCCACAATTTTTTCATACCATAAGGACTGATTTTGTAGTTTTGTCTTCATTTTATCATTATCGGAAAAAAAAAAGGGGAGGGGATGAGGAGAAATTTTCATCTTTGTTTTTAGTATAGATGAAGTTCAAAACAAACTATTAACATAACATTAAAAGACACGATTATGTGATAATATAAAGGAATAATGAAGGTGGTGGGGGGGGGGGGGGGGGGGGTTAAGGGGATGAGCAGAAATTTCCATCTTTGTTTTTAGTATAGATGAAGTTAAAAAAAAAACATTAACATAACATTAAAAGACACGATTATGTAATAACATAAAGGAATAATAAAGGTGTTGGTATAAAGATGCACGTATGAATTTCTTGACTTCTTGACTGACCCAATATAGTTAATGATGTTTTGTTTAACATATTTAATGATGTTTTGTCTAACATATTTAAACATGCTGGGGTTTTCGCCAAGAAAGAGACACGTATGAATTTCTTGACTGACCCGACAGAAAGAATGTCAACCCTTAGACCGGTTGTCGTTTTAATTTTTGGATAAGTTAAAGGGAAACACACATGTGTGGACCTAGGGGCGAAACATGATCATTAGAAATAAGGGGGCCAAAACCATATTCAAAACTTTTAATCATATGAATAAAAGCCATTTAAAGTTTTTAAAGTCTTTTACACTGAACAATTTTGTTTATTTCTAATGTATGTTTATACCAAATTTAGATTGAGCAATATTAATTGTACTAAAGCAGTTTCAGAGGTCTAATTGATCATAATTTTTCGACTCGCTACAAAATAATAGTAGATTTATTACTATATTAAGTTAGATGTTTTAATATATTTTTGAACTAGTTTTGTACAGACCACATATAAAAAGACAAATAAAAAACTTTTTCTTTCTAAACAAGCCTTTAAAAAAAATCATAACTTATAAAAACAAACTCATCATAAAAACGATTGTTTTTATTCATTTCTCATAATGATTATCAAAGGCATTAGAATTATATTAAAAATATATTATATGGACATCACTGTTTTAAAAAAAAAATTACCTCCAATTTTGCTTCAACAATCATATATGAGACTAGTGTAGGTAAAAAGATTTTATTTTATTTTGTCACACATATTAGTGATCTACATTATAAAAGGGCTTACATGGTATATTTAAATGAAAATTATAATTGTATCTCCTCCCTGATTTGGAAGCTCATCGATAAAGACTTTAGTACAAAATATTTATAATATTATTTAGTCAAAACATGTTAAAAATAAATTGTGATATTTGGTGGAGTAAAAAGTTGTCCCCGGCCCCTAAAGGCATCCGCCACTGTGTACCTTAAAAGGGTATTTCTTCTTGTGTGCATGAGGACTAGGGATTGCTACATGCAAAGTTGCCATATATGAGAATTTGTGTATGGAAAATCAACACATGTTCATACAATTTCCATTTGAAACGTTTGGGTACCTCGCATCGCATGCGGTAGATCTTCTTAATAGAGTACAACGGATCATGCATAACAATGTTGTATCTCCTAGATCTATAAATATAGTTTTTAAAAGAATCAAATTTACCATACAAAAATACTTAACGACTTAGTTCGTTTATCATCTTGATAACTAAAAGAATATAACCTTTTGTCATCGAAACCAACAACTCAAGAAAAAAAAAATGTTTTTTTCAGAGCAATACGATACAAAAAATAATGAGTAAATTACACGAATGGTCCCTATGGTTTAGGTTAATTTGCGCATTTGATCCCTAACTTATTTTTTTAACTCGGAAGGTCCCTACTATTTGTTTTTGTTACGCGCTTGGTCCCTATCTTACCTAAAAAGACTATTATGCCCTTGATTTTTTTAATTTATTTAAATAAACACACCCCGAATCTCACCCTTCACCTTACCTCACCTACCCCATCATTTTTTCCTCTTTAAATAATAGTCTTTTTAGATAAGACAGAGATCAAACGCGTAACAAAAATAAATAGTAAGGACCAAACGTGTAACAAAAACAAACCATATGGACCTTCCAAGTTAAAAAAATAAGTTAGGAACTAAACACGCAAATTACGACAAATCATAGGAACCATTCATGTAATTTACTCAAAAATAATATATAAAAGTAGAATTTGATATCGAATAAGAGATCCCTATCAAACTTTTTTCTATTTTAGCGGACTCCCAACCTCATATCATTAAATAAATCGAATAAAAAAATACAAATTATTTATAAAAATCGGGTACCACGTAAAAAGAAAATAATTGTGTCCAATTGTTTTCGGTCCTTTCGGGCAGCCAAGTGACACTCTGACGGAAGCAATTAGCTAAGTGTAAAAAATTGACGCCCTCAACCTCTTATATATTGCCACGTGTCACTTTTAGTTTGCATTTTCTCTCTCATTCAACAACACGTCCAGGTTCAATGAACCTAAAAGGCCGCCTCACCATTTATCATCCGCTTTCTTCTCCCCTTATTTTATATAATCTCCATTTCCCTTCTCTTCATCATCAGATTCACACAAAGCAAAAACCATATAAATCAATTTCAATTCTTTGTATAGAATCTGTGATACAATTTGAAGGTTTTAACAATGGCGTTAGCTTTTACTTCTTCCACTTCCATTGCATTTTCTTCCTCTTCTTCTTCGTCACGAACAGAACAAGGTAAAAATCAATGATTTTTGACGCATTGATTTACTCCATTTTTGTTGATTTTTGAATTGGAAATTTGATTAATTGATTGTGTTTCTGTAGGGGTTAATGTGAGTTCTACTAAATTTCATCCATCGGATGTGTCTCATTTGGTATCACCGGCGGTTTTCAGTTTATCCCGGAAGCGGTCTGCCGCCGTGAAGGCGTTGAATGCCGAACCGCGGCGGAATCATCCGGTTGTTCCTTCAGCTGCCACCACTTTTGCTCCTGGTAATTATTTATTTATGATTCGTTGGTGTTTTCGCACTTTTCTAGATTCATATTCAGATATAATAAATTGTATGAAGAACTCATGATCTTCAAAGAGAATAAACATATTATCCAATTTTCCAACTTCGAGTTAAGGTCAATTTTTGTTGCTTTTACACATAAATTGTAGATAGAATGCCAGAAAAATGTTTCAGTGGTACATGTTAAGTATAATCTATTCGCTTAATCTTCATGAAAAATTTATTAAACTTGTAATCAAATCTGAATTTGCAAATGATTGCATTAGACCTCAAAAAAGTCAGTGACTTACCTTTTGGAGTATCAAGTGGAGTGGTTAGATTCACCATTGATATTCCTGCCTCATTACACACTTCAAAATTTTATACAAATTAATTTGACAATTTGTGAATTGACAAGAATACCCTTTTGTATTAAATTTACAGATGTAGTCGAGAAAGCGGTAGAACTTGAGGACTTCGAAAAACTAGCTAAAGATCTTGAGAATGCTTCCCCACTTGAAATCATGGATAAAGCCCTGGAGAAATACGGCAATGACATTGCTATTGCTTTCAGGTAATCAATCATACACAATGTGATTGTAACAATTTATCATATAGCAAATTTTTCTCTCCGGAGGCCCTTGGTTTTTTTCTTGTAATGTGAATACTTTTTGTTTCTCAGTGGCGCTGAGGACGTAGCGTTGATCGAGTACGCCCACCTCACGGGGCGTCCATATCGCGTATTCAGCCTGGACACCGGCCGATTAAACCCTGAAACCTACAAATTCTTTGACACTGTAGAGAAACATTACAATATTCGAATCGAATACATGTTCCCGGATTCAGTAGAAGTCCAAGCCTTGGTGAGAACCAAAGGCCTATTCTCATTTTACGAAGATGGGCATCAAGAATGCTGTCGTGTAAGAAAAAGTGAGACCATTGAGGCGAGCACTAAAAGGGCTCCGAGCATGGATCACCGGTCAACGGAAAGACCAATCGCCCGGAACCCGGTCAGAGGTTCCCGTGGTTCAAGTGGACCCGGTTTTTGAAGGAATGGATGGGGGTTCGGGCAGTTTGGTGAAGTGGAACCCTGTGGCTAATGTGGGTGGGAATGATGTGTGGACATTTTTGCGAACCATGGATGTCCCGGTTAACTCGTTGCATGGTCAAGGGTATGTTTCGATTGGGTGTGAGCCGTGTACTCGGGCGGTGTTGCCAGGTCAGCATGAGAGGGAAGGAAGGTGGTGGTGGGAGGATGCGAAAGCGAAGGAGTGTGGATTGCATAAAGGAAATATTAAGGAAGAGATAGTGAGTGGGAATGTTAATTCGAATGATGGTGCTTCGGATATCTTTAATGGTAATGATATTGTGAATTTAAGTAGCATGGAATGGAAAACTTGCTTAAAATGGAAGATAGGAAAGATGCTTGGATTGTTGTTCTTTATGCACCTTGGTGCCAATTTTGCCAGGTACTAACCAAGTTTTAAAATATTTAGTTAATAATTTCATGTTTAAAAAAGTACAACTTTGTACTTTCAAATTATTTCTTATTAGTGCATTGTATTTTGAAGATTTTTCAAAATACAATGCACTAATAACAAATAAGATAAAAAAAAAAGTACAATGTTGTAATAATTTTAGCCTAATATGATAAAATATCATAGGCTAAATGCAAAACTTATTAATGTACTTTTCATTTTTCTGTTATTGTGAATTACATTGTACTTTCAAAGTACAATAAGAAATAACTTGAAAGTAGAATACTGCAATAAAAAATGAGAGTATGATGCTATAATAAAATGTTTGTTGAAAGCACATTGCTATTTCTTTCATTTAGCCTGACTTAGTTCTTGTTGTTTTTGTGATCATAGGCAATGGAAGCGTCATATGTCGAATTGGGTGAGCAGTTGGCGGGAAGTGGTGTGAAGGTTGGAAAATTTAGAGCAGACGGCGATGAAAAAGCGTTTGCTCAACAAGAATTGCAGCTCGGGAGCTTTCCAACAATCCTTTTCTTCCCGAAACACTCGTCTAGGCCAATCAAGTATCCATCTGAAAAGAGAGATGTTGACTCTTTGACTAGCTTTGTTAATGCCTTGAGATAATAATAGAAAAAAAGGTTCAATATGTAGAGGGCGCTTTTTATATATTTATGTGGACATTGTGGGCTAAGTCCCGCTATTTGGCATATGGTGGTGGTGTTGGTTTTGGGTGGTAAGGTGGCGGCGGTGGCTGTCGGAGATTTTGAATTTGCTAGTTTTTGAGAATATTGGAATGGAATATAAGTTTTTGATTGGTGCTTGATTCGTTGTTTGAATTACGTAGCTTATTCAATGTTGACTACAAAAACGTATGCAATTGTCGTCCGACAGGTATGGTGTAAGGTGTAACTGTAACACCCTTTGTTGGACAATTTTATAAATAACATTCTAAAATTTTGTTGAGATAAAAAAATATATACGTGGTACGTGAAGTCCATCACTTAATTCATTTGAGAGGATAGTTGAAATCATACTAAAGATTAATTCATTTGAGAGGATAGTTGAAATCATACTAAAGATATTAGACCAGATGAGTTGTCATACTATTTCATAAATAAGTTATAACAACTTTCTTTAAACCTTTTTCATTACTAGAAATAACAAATACATAGCAATAATAAATTAAAAATTTCAAACTTAAAAACTTAAAAAAAAAAAAAAAAAAAAAAAAAAACTAGAACAACCCGCATGAGTTGGTGGACAACTTCACGATTTCTTTGGGCGTGTTTGGTATAGAGCTTTTGGAAGCGTTTAGGAGCTTCTAGCTTTTAGCTTTTGACAAAACGCTCTAGTTTAAACAAAAAGCTTCGTTTGGCAGTACGAGCGTTTAGCTTTTAGTTTTATCAAAACGCTTCGATTCTAAAAGCTACTTCATGTAGCTTTTAACAAAACGCTCCAGAGCTTTTGAAATCAATTTCCATAATTACCCTTAAAAATATATTTATATACTTTTTTATTTTTAATCAATTGTCCTTTTATGTAATTTTATATATTTCAAAAGCTTCCAGCTCCTTTTGCCAAACATTCATATAACAAATAAAAGCTACAGCTTCCCGCTACCAGCTACCAGCTACATGCTACCCACTACCCGCTACCAGCTAACCGCTACCCGCTTCCAGCTAACAGCTACTTTTGGCAAACACGCCCTTTGTATATATAATCTTTTTCTCCACCCTGCATTTTTGGTATTCCTCTAACGTAGTTCTTCTACCTTTACTTCCATGGATTAAACAACCTCCATGGTCATTCTATCATTGACTCAGAAATTTTTGAAGATGAATGACATTTTTAGAGTGAGGAAAAAAGGAGGTGTTGGTATGATATAAAATAGTGTTTAAGGTTTGTATTTATAGACTCTTTGAATTTAAAAAAAAAAAATTTAAAAGTAGATGTTTGGATCGATGGTCAAAATAGTCAAAGGAAGAGATAGAGTGATGTTACGTTGTCAAGCAACCTTCACCGAGCAACCTTCACCGAGCACGAGGGACGGTGTGCGCCGAGTCCACGTTAGCGGTATCGAGTGCCTTTATTATCAGCTACTCGAGCGCCACTACCTATAATATATAAAACTTAGTGGGTCAGACTTAGGAGCATGGTGAGCACGTAGGGTTTTCAACCCACAATAAATAAGTTTACTAATTTTATCAACCAACAATAACCCGATTACATGTTCCCGTTATCCTCACATTACGTCCCTAAACACCTATCATAAGGGACCTATCCTAAGGATTATCATCGGGATGGACACTACTGCTAAGGGGGCTCCTCAGCAATAAATGTCCTAAAGGCAACCATGAGGGGGATGGAGTACACCGGTGAACACATCGTTCACAACACCTACAGGTTGCGAGCCTGCCAGCATTCCACTGGACTATCTAGAAGAGTCCGTGGTCGTCATCTATACTCCGCTAGATAACTGGATCAACAACAACAATATCGAGGCCTCTCATCATTTTATCACACATCACCTATTGCATCTACCCATGTTTTACCCCAACATTTTCGTAGATATAAAATACATATACAGTTTAAATCATTGAAAACATGTATAAAAATGTTCATCCAACATAAATAGCAAGTATTCAGATAATATGCACACATAGCACGTAATTTATATAAAATGCTTCATATCTATGTGTAAGCTGAAAGTAACTATACACTCACATGAAAAGGTGGTGATTCTTCACTCGGACAGCGTTTCGATACTCTCAAAGCAATTTTCCTTCGATAAAACCTATCAATACCACTAGGGTTTAGTCTAATGTCAACCGCGACTAATTAATAATTTAGCTATTATTATTATTATTATATAAGCGTTAAATAAGACTTAATATAACTCATAATAATAGCACAAATAATAATTTTAAGGACCTAATAACATTACTATAATTATCTGAAAGCTATATTAAAAATTGCGTATGCATAACTCACTTACATCGGATTTTAAAGAAAATCAGGCTTTGCTCGGAGCAGCGTTTCCGAAACCGAAAGACCCTTTTTCTTGGGACTCCGGGAGCCTCGGGGCTTCCTTAGGGTGCAAGGGGATCGCCTAGGCTTAGGGGAAGATTAAAACCCTTAGAGAGAGAAAGAATTTAGAGAGAGAGTGAAGAAAGTTGTGAAAAACTTGGAATGGCTCACATGCTATTTATAGCTTCAGCAGCCTCGGACTACGCTGCGCGTCCAGCAGCTACGCTGGGCGTAGTCTCGGATAAGATCGCCACCTCGGACCAGTTGTCTCCCACACCAGATGGATAAGACCCGAAGGTACATTGGGCGTACATGATCTTGTATGCGGAGGGTAGCGAAGGGAGGTGTGTCCGAATCCGAAGCGTTAACTGATCAACGATGGACGACCCACAACGCGCCACGTCACCAAGCTCTTATCAGCCATCACAAGTTCGACCATAAACTTTAAAAATTCGTAACTTTCACGTACAAGATCCATTTTCGACGTTCTTTATATCCACGTGAAGGTGGGAACATACTCTACAACTTTCGTTTCGACTCCGTCAGCTAATTTTGACTTTATTTTAAAAGCTATATTTTTAACAGGCCGGGATAGGATTGGTCCGTTAAATTCTCATAACTTCTTCACCCGACGTCCGTTTTCACCCATCTTTTTCTTGTTATGCTACTCTTAATGGGATCTTCGATTCTCGTTTAGGTCGTGTCGGCTAAAAACCGCTCGATCTATTATTCGAATTTCGAGCTGTACACTCCTAAGCCGAAACTTCGAAAAATTATAACTTCTTCATACGAAGTCAGATTTGGGCATTCTTTTTATGGACGCTCTCGGCTTAACTTATTCTACGATTGACATTTGGACCGCTAAGGCTAAAACTCGCTCTATTGTAAATTCACTATTTATGCTCCCCGGTATTGTACCGGTTCCGTCGCGAAACTTCAACATGTCATAACTTCTTCGTTATAACTCGGATTTCGGCGCTCTTTATATCCTCGTAATCCTTGTTTCAACCACTACAACTTTAGGTAGAGATATCGGGCTTATCTCACACTTCAATTTTGATGCTTATTTTTATTCTTTATTTATTAAACATTTATAAATACATAATAAGCATAATTCACATAATACTCAAATATTTCATCTTTATTACTTCAAAATGAGTAACAATAGTTGGTCTAGACTATTACATTGTCAAAAATGCTTAGCCATGAAACCCAGGTGTTACAAATAGTTTTTGTGTGGCAAAAATAAAATGATGAATATGTGATATAGACCATGAGGTAAGGGTGAGAGGTGAACCATGAGAGAAGCCTTTTACCTAAGTGACGGCCCTGTCATCCAACAGAGTATGGATGACAACCAAAGACTATTCTAGACAGTCTAGTGGTCACTAGCAGGCTCGCAACCTGTAGGTGTTTTGAACTGTGTATTCGCCAGGTGTACTCTAAAAACCCATTGACATGTATTGCGAGTGGATTCTCTGACACGATATTGTGGATAAACGAGATAAAACCCATTGACCTGTATTGCGAGAGGAGTCTCAGAAATGATACTATCAATAAACGAGATAAACCTTGGTAACTATGGATTTAGTGCCTGTTGAGTAAACCTTGGTAACGATGGATTTCGTGCCTATTCCTTAGGATAACCCTTAGGAATAAATAAACGAGGAATAACTTAATTATTAGGGTAGAATAAAGAAGATAATGGGGATGGGTAATTGGGTTGATTGTTTAAATGTTTAAACATAATAATTATATTATTGTGGGTTGAAACCTATGTACTCACCAGGTTTCCCAACCTGACCCACTCAGTTTATTTATATCTCAGGTGTTGATATGAAGTCACATTACACTGAGAGATTAAGGAAATATAGATCACTAGTGATAATGAATGTAAGTTCTGTTTATGCTTATGTTTATGTATTGACAATGACATCCCAAATGTTTTTAAATGAATAAAAATACTTTTATTTAGAAATGCCTTGATAACGTATTTACCATGTTTTACTGGGAAAAAAATTCCGCAATACTTTTATTAAAAGAAGTACTCTGATTTTTATAAAATATAAACAAAATCGGTCTTTTCTAGCCGTGAAAATGGGGATGTCACAATATTGAACATCAAAATCCAATCATAAGTACTTAGAAATGGAAGGTCAGCCAAAGAAAACTCATGAATAATGCGATTGTGTCCTCTGAAAGATTTTAATTGTGTATATTTAAAAACCCATTAGCCTATTCAGGAAGCCCAACCTTGAGCCTTACGACCGTCTTCAAACTCCATGATTTGTATTGTGGCTTGGAGTACTTTAGATAAAACGAAAATAGTTTCTTATTCGTTACAGTGTTCGATAAAGGAAATTTCCTTATATTTTCAAAGCATTGGAAGAGAAAAACTATGAGAGTGATCGGAATATCCATTTGAAACTCAACATCATTGTTAGTATCAAAGGATGTCTTTGGTTCCAAACAAAATAAGTTCAGATCATCAATTGCTTCTTCTTGCATCTGATCAAGTGTCCATTCCAGAAATAACGCTTTCTTGCTCGCAAGAATTTGTTCAACATTCTTGAGTTCAACACCTTCCGCATCCAAATTTTCTTTTAATGCATTGAGATCATCCAAATCTTTATCTCTTTTCTCTTTCTCAATATTTTCCTTATCAGTCAACTCAGGACTCAATTCAGATACCTCCTCTATAATAATATTAACTTTTCCTTTACCTGATCCGGAAGTTATATTAATCTTCCGACCAATCTTGACTTCTTTCATATTCTTCATCTTTTTAGAAAGATTCTTCTTTCTAGCACAATCTTATCAACATCATCCATTTTCTCCATAAAGCCTATCTGATATGGATCTTTAATATTCACCTTTTGTTCTCCCCTTATTTCACAGAAGCCTCGCTTCTCAAAACACCTTGAGTATTGTTCAACTTTTCAATGATTGGTATCAACTTGCCATAAATTATCTTACCAATATAATCAACAAACGGAGCATTCCTTGATTCAACAATTGGTAACAATCATTTTCTTATTTCAAAATTTCTTCCTTGAATTAAATACATCTCTTATTGTATTTTTCCGAGATTAATAAAATAACTTTTGAGTTGCTCCTTCAGAACTTTCACCTTCTGAGTCTGTTCAGCAAGTTCATCCATGACCTTATTTTCAGCAGCAAGATCATTCTGCAATATAAGAATCGTATTTGAAATAGAGGTATGATGATCTGCATTATCCTTATGTATGCCAAACCTTAAACTATATAAAGCGTCTTTCTTCGATTGTTAAGAAATAAGAAAGCCTTCAATAACTTTGTTCACATCAGCAACATTTTTCTCCAAAGAAGTTCTGAAATCATGCATAAACTCATTTAGTTCTTTCAAAACTTCTTGACTTTTTTAGTTGCTTCAGAAATCTCCTTTGTAGAAGATTCAACAATTTTCCTTGTATCTTCATGAACCTATGAGTTTGCAGAAGTTAACATCTCAACTGTAGCCAAATGAGTCGTCACAAGATTTTCCTAGCTTGTTGTTGAAAAATTATTTGTATGATTCATAATTAAATCAAGCTTTTGATTCAGCTGTCTGAATTGACCCTTCGTCATTGGAGCATCATCATCGTCACTATCAACTTCCACAGTAAAAGATGGAAACACGAAATCATCAATGGGTACTGGATCATCCCCAAAATGACATCTTCATTAGTAGTTGAATTAGGAACTAAAGAAGAAATATTCCTCGTAGTCACACCAATATTGACATTTGATTCCACATTAGATGTGTTACCAGTGATACGTGAAGACCTATTCTTCTCCTTATCAGATATGAAAGTAGGACCTTCTGGTGGAGTTGGAGTTGAGGTTGTTGTAGGATTTGTGGTGGATTCTATAAAGGTTGGAGTCGACAAAGGTATACAAATTTGAGGTTGAGATGTATTTACTAAACTGATTTTTGGTAAACGTGGAATGGATGAAATCGGAATGGATGTTTTCATTAGAGAAGTAGATCTAGGAAAAATACATGGTGGTAGAGTTTGAGATGTGTTCAGAAATGGCTCACTGATAACATTCTCAAATATATCCGATTCAGGTGGAACAGATGAAGATTGTGGAGTAGATACCTTCGGAGATGCCTCTGTTGTAGGAGGTTCTTAAACAATTGGAACTGCAATATTAGTAGAGCTATCATCTTCATAATTTCGGATAATTCCTTCTCCTTGAACATCACTATATGTTCGCTCTTCAGAATTATCTTCGAACACATGTGGTGGTAACTTTGGCTTTTTTGCCAGCTTTTTAATTTTCTTAGAGACAGTCGCAACAACATTTGCAGCTTCTTTGGTTTTCCTTTTCCCTCCTCGCTTTAGTAGACCACCAACTTCAATAATTTTCTTCAAATAAAAAGGAATCTTACGAACACCAAATAAAGGTAATTTCTGATAAGCCTTAATTATTACATTGTTCAAAGGGACTTTCTCCATCACCACTTCAGGAATCGATCCTACAAAATCGAAATTCCTTGGATCTGTAGTGAAGAAAGTCATTGTCTGCATCATCAGAATCTTTACCATCAACATATCCGTCAGAACTTTGTAGTGAAGAAGAGCTCTCTTTACCACAATTGACCAAAATCTAGCACAAGAAATTTCCGTGTGCCGAGTAGTTGAATTAACACTCTGTGCAAACTGATTCCATATGACTGAACCAAAATCAACATTTGTTCCAGTGAAAGCCTATAAATCACTGAGTAAAAGATTTTACTTGCACTGTCAGATTTTGAAACCCTCTCCGATAAAATTTTGAATAAAATGGTGAACAAACCATTCTAAATCTGTGGCAAAAATGATTTTTTGAATATAGAGAGTAGTGAAATGTCAGAAGTATATCCCATCTAGAAGAATATCTCGATCATTCGTGTTTCTTGAATTGATTCTGGATCAACAAAAGTAGACAATTAGAGCCCTAACAGTTGATAAAAAATGTGTTTTTGAGATTGAAGTTTTGTGCCCAACAACTTCAAAATTGATAATCTTGAGTAGTTTGTTGTAACTGGCATTACAATATGCATGTGAGAGATAAACAAGAGGAACTATTTCATGCATCGCCATAGCCTTCATCAATGGTGAGAAACATAAACACTCGATTAAGGGCTTGATCAGTGTGTTGTATTTTGAAGCATCGAGATCAGCAATTAGGTTTTAATTTGCTTTAATGTTCAACATAATAGTTGAAGCATATTGATCAACAAAAGAAATATTCTTAGATGAAGTCATGATTGTTGAAGAAGATGATGAATAGTAGATAAAAATTTTCAGTAATCGCCTGAGCTTTAGTTAAAATGATAGAAAATGAAGCTGTGTAGTTTCCTTTTAAATCAAAGTTGATGGGTGAAGAGAGAAAACCGTCGTTTCCCATGCCCATCACATCACAAATCATACATACTTATAAAGCTAGCATTTTTTCTTGAATCTCATGCATTTGAAACCCCCCATAAAAATTTGCCAAAACCTCATGCATTTGAAACCCCCACACCCTTTCACCTTCAAAGTAATTAATCACATATAATCACATTCCAAGAAAACCACACACTCTATAAGTTCAACACCTCATGCATTTCAAACCCCTACACCCTTTCACCTTCATTATATATGTAGTTATATTACTACATTTTTCTTACAAAAAGTCGTCATTTGGTTGAAGATATTATGATTCAAAAGTTTTCATATAGTTAAAGCATCCACGATCCAAATATGATGATTTGAAGAAATGTTTTATGTCGCATCGATGGTAATTGTAATATGATTTTTTTTCTTTCAACCAAAACAAATGAAGCTTTTCTATTCTTTCTTTATATTCAATTTCTCATTTGACCTTTATATGTGATTTGTACGCATTACTCAATCTTGAATGTGACTCTCAAAACATCAATGTTTTGCTTGGAATATCTTTCTCATTCTTCTTTTTCAAGAAAAACATTTTGATTACAGGTTAGTGAAGAATTGTGATCAAGTTTCTATGGTTGAATGATGTTCAATAAAGAAAGAAGATTCTGAAAACGGATATAGGTTTTTTTTTGTTTGAGCAAAGTAGACGAATGTTACTTTTTTCTTTTGATTTAAATGTATATTTATGTAAAAAATTTATTTATATATTCAACCACCCAATGTTCTTATTTATTTTATTGTAGTTTTTCTGTTTGATTATGTTTATTTTCTATTATTTTTTTGTTAGGTTATCTTACACAACATATTTACAAGACAATATTTAAAAGATAACATAATTTTCAACATTTTATATGTAATTATGATGACTTATCATGATATGTTCTTTATATGAAATTAATTTATCCATATTACTACGACAAGAATTACATATGACATTTACAAAAATATATATTATGTGTGATTTGTTTAACATATATATGCACCTATGTATGTTATAAGTTTATAATTAAATATATTTATGTTTAATAATTGAAAGGATTAAAATAATGCATCAAAACCAATTATTTAGATGAATATAATAATAATAATAATAATAATAATAATAAGTAAATAAATAAATAAATACACATTTCCAAGTATTGTATTCATTTGAAACTCGTACTACAACTCAAGAGTTTTCTAATTTATGTATATTTATTAGTTACAACTTAAGAGTTTTTAACTTATGATTATTAATTAGTAATCACTAATAACTTTTTATTTTCCTTTCTTTTATAAGGTTGTAAAGTTTTGCTCATTAAAAATATTAATGTGTTTGAAGAGATATGTGATTTAAATATGAAAAGTTAATATAAATGTTTTAGTGTTTTTATATTATTAAAAGTTATAGTGTTTATTTTTCATATTTTTTATTATTCGTTGTATATATATATATATATATATATATATATATATATATATATATATATATATTTAATACAAATATTATAATTGATGTTTTTATATTTTTATGTTACTAAAAGTTGTTGTTCATATTTTTAATTATTCATTTGTGACTAACACTACAACTCAAGAGTTTTCTAATTTATGTATATTTATTTGTTACAACTCATGAGTTTTTAACTTATGATTATTAATTAGTAATCACTAATAACTTTTTATTTTCCTTTTTTTTACAAGGTTGTAAAGTTTCGTTCATTAAAAACATTAATGTATTTGAAGAGATTTGTGATTTAAATATGAAAAGTTAATATAAATGTTATAATACATGTTTTAGTGTTTTTATGTTATTAAGAGTTATAGTGTTTATTTTTCATATTTTGATACAAATGTTATAATAGATGTTTTTGTATTTTTATGTTACTAAAAGTTGTAGTTCATATTTTTGTTCATACATTTTGTTACCCGTTATATATAGATTATCATATGTTTGATATATAATTTACACAATTTTAAGCGGTTTATAAAATTATGAAATAATTGTATATATCACAATGACTTAAAAATTAAAACTATAATCATCATACTATATTATAAAGGAAACATTTTTTCTTTCACCACATTCATTTGAAACTCCCAACTTTTTATATTTCCATACAATATACTTAATTTATTAACTTAAATATGTTTTTAGTTGTAAACATTATCATAAATGGAAGAATTTGTGACTTATCAATATGATATACTTAATATGTTAACTTCAATATATAGTTAAATAAATAACCTACATTAATGTATCAAATAAGCTTAAAATTTTAGTGTAAAATTTAAAACCTAAAGTAAAATATCAAATAATGTTTAAAAAAATCAATATATATATATATTTTAACATAGTTAAAAGCAAAACATTAAATATAATAATAATAATAAAAGAACCTAAATTGATGAATCGAATTAACTAAAAGGTGTCAGAAAACTATATTCTAAGAATATATTTTTAACTTGCGACGCACAACGCGCGGAAATCCGTGTAGTATAGCTAATAACCGAATGTCATCTTATCATATTCTTGTAACCGTCAAGCACCGTTTGAATGTTCAAAGCATACGTTAAAGAATACAAAAAGACGCGCCATTATTTGAATTATCTTTTATTTAACATGCCCGTTTCAGTTTTGCAGTATTTCAGAATCATTGATCCACCCTTCAGCTTTGCATATGGCAAGATAGTTTCCATTGGAATTATAATCAAGATTCACTTTCAGAATTGTAATAACCATTCGGAATAGAAATCGGAGTTTGTAAAATCGCTAGGACTTTAGTGCAAGAGTGTGCCAAAGAAAATGAATTAAGCAGATTAAAAAAAATATGGGATTTGTGATATCAAAATTATTTGATATGAAAAATAGAATGATCCCAGGCAATGATCTCTTCCTTCTTAGTCAAGAGAGACTCAAAAGTGCTTGTATGCTTTCCTGTTGAATTACCATCACCAATTTGTTAGGAAATTACAAAATGCTTCTTTTGTTAAGTCTTTTGGTAGGCTTGTTTCCATATGTAGATGCATTTTAAAATAAGAGAAGAGATACAAATTTGAAACCTTGATTGATCAATGTGATCCGAATCAAGAAAAAAACTTAACATGCTTCATGGGTCGTAACATCGAGGTAAAAAAATTTGAATGTAAAAGTTGGATCTATTTGGAAGTAATGATCTGGATTCAATCACCTCATTAAGATCACACAACATATTATTTGAGATATGAAAACTTTTGGTACACCATCAATTCATTTTGTTAAAATCTAGAACAATAAATTGTTCACTGCCAATTTATTAAGGAGTTGTTTATTGGGTTTCACTGAAGTCATGGTGATAACAACTTCGAGATCATAAGCAAAAAATTTTATGTAATCTCGACCACAGTTGGTTTTTACTAGGAATCTTTGGATTACAATTCATGAACTAGAATTAAGAATAAGAGATTGGAAAAAAAGAGTTGGTGGGTTTCACTCAAATAATGCTAACAATGACTTACGATCATAAATGAAAAATGTTTGTAGCCCTATATCGAAGCAATTATTACTTCAATAATCAAGGGACTGCCTGTAAGCTGTGAAAAGTTATGATTGAAAGAAAGTATGACGTCGACCGTCAATTCCTTATTTCAGACTAAAATTATGAAATGAATTTACCGTCAATTCCATAGAAGTAAAATATTTTTGGTATTTTAAATTTTTCAAAATAGGAAATTAAAGAAAATATTTTTGAGATTTTGAATTTATGAAAAGAAATACAAAAAAATAATAAATCCAAAAACTAAGAAAATATTTTTGGATTTTGGAATTTATGAAAAATAAATTCAAAAACAAAGAAAATACTTTTGGATTTTTGAATTTTGAAAAATAATTACGAAAAGAGAATACTTACAATTTCCAAAGATCAAAACAACTCTAAAGTGAATAGTTACTTCAGACTTCCTCCGAAGTTCAGAACAAATCGGAAAGTGAATAGTGAGTTCAGATAGCCTCTGAAGCTCAGAATGATTTTTTAAGTGAACAGTAGCTAAGTTGTTGATTTCGGAATGATTCAGCTTCAATCGTTCCCAATCCTTGTAAGATCCGATTAATGGTTACTTCTGGTAAAGCTTTTGTGAAAATATTA